CCTGCATTGCATTGAGCAGGACAGTCAAGTATTCATAGACTCTGTTCAGCGATTGTGGCGTTTCATTGAACCGAACATTTCGGTAGACGCGTTAGGAAACAGGAGATCACCGAGGCGACCTCAAGGACGACAGATGTATGATGGTTATGCTCCGTACATTTGGGAAGCAAGGAGACAGGTAGCGCGACACCTAGGTAGCTATTCTTGAATTCGAGGGAGTAGAAAACCGGTTTCTCCTCTTTATCTGCAACGCAAAAAAATGTATTTTGTCTCATTCTTCCCTCAAAATTTCTATTCCCTGAGATTCAAGAATAGATACCCTGAAGATAACCATTCGAGGGAACGATCCAGCGTTGCCAGACCTACTGTTGTGGATCTACTTATCCACTGTTTTTGTCTCTAGCAAATTTCGTTCTTTATATATTAAGTTTGCCTCATTCTTCAGCAAATGGTCAAAGAATATTTTCTCTAGTAAATCTGCTGAAGTAAAAGCAGCGTAATAAGTATCCACTACTGTAGGTTGGCTCCATAAAAAAAATATAATAATCATTGTTTTTATTTAAAATGAAACAAAGAATTAATAGGGCATCATAAAAAGAACACAACGATTTTGAATTATCTGATTCAGACTGATCTAGAAGAAGTGGGTACCTATTATTTTTCATTGTTTTTTTTTTTGTTTCCGCACGTTAAGTATATATTAAAAATGTTATTATTTGTTTTAATTCTTTGTTTACTTTCTGATTTGGGTAGAAAAATTTTTATTTTTCGTTTCTTATATACTTGTATACTTGTATATACTTGTTTTTTTTACTACACTGGAAATTAAAATTATTTCCCCCTGTATTAAAATCTACTGTTCTACGGTTTTTTCACCCATACTGTTCCAGCATCTGGCAACACTGCCTAGATCGAAAGAAATTTCCAACTACCAATTCTATAAAATATCGAATAATCACCTCCAAATACAAGCAATGTCTGAGGACAGTGACCTCAAGTGCGACACGCAGCAAACGCTTTGCCCGGAGACCTATCCAAAGTGTCGTCAAGGAGTGTCGCGCCGTGCGAAATGTGTTTCATATAATTGCATGTGTTTCAGACGTGAAGAGACCGTTCTCGGTCGCGTCTGTTGTCGTCTGTCGCGTCGGTTGTCGTCTGTCGCGCCTACCGAAATGGTATCTTAACTGGTCACTTTCGGTGAGCACAGGACCGGAGCGAGTGGAGGGGAGAATTTTGGAAAAAAGTCATGTTTTTTTGTAGATTTTAACGACTCTTGGGTAAAAATTCCCATTCAAAAGACAAGAGGGTGACGAAGCGTGATTTTTTAACGATTTTAACGGCTCCTGAGTAAAAATTGGGCGTGGCAAACCCAAAATTTTCTGCCTTCGGCGGTAAGCTTCCGGTAGCCCCTGCGCGGGGCTATATTTTACCTTTACCATATTGACCCCCCCCCAGTAATGAATCCTGGATACGCCACTACACGTAACAAGTTTATCGAGCAGACGTAGTATTCTATGCCGATTATCTACTGGCCGCCATTATTTTGGTGCTAATCATTTCGGTAACACCAAAGTTTTTGTTCCTGTTTATTTCTGATTTTTGAATTAAACGACATTTAATAATTGGTTTATTACAATGGTTTATTGTGTGTTAAAGTTATAACGGAAAGAAATAAGCAGATATTACGTTTTACAGGTAAATGATAAACATCAGTCGTTTTCACTTTATATATTTTCTTATATTTTTCATTTTATTTAGTGTTATACAACTTGGTAATTACATATTGTACATGTCTCACTCCAGAGTAATAAATTTTACCCACCAAGTTTGTTTATTTTTTGCTTTTCATTGATATTTAAGCAATTAATGATGTTAAAATGGTCAAACATGTAATTTTCTCCAGTGGCGTGTCATATAATTCTAAATAATATCTTTTAATAAATCCTAATTTACTTTTGCTTCTTATTTAATTGCAGCAATGTTTATTTGTTGTTTTATTTAAGATTTCCTGTGGATCCAGCGAAAAAATTTTTAGATTTAGGAAACGAAAATTGCAAATTGGATACCTACGCCAAATGATAGATAGTGTTCAAAACATTTTGAAAGTCATTTTTTTATGGGGCGTTTACTAAATGAAGCAGTTTCCACTATATTTCCTAAATTCTCTAAATACATGCAGCTGAAGAAGGTGCCTATACTAATAAACATAATTAAACATATATATTTTTTTAATTACCTTTCATTATTATGTTATGAACTTTAAAGAATTTAGCAACCCTTTCGTGTATAATTCAAAACATTATCGTAATAATTAATTGTTTGTAGTACTTAAAAAGAAGTGAATTGCATTTGGAAGCTAAGCCAGGCCCTTTCAATACAACTTCAAATAAGGAATTTATCTTAAAAAGCTTAGAAGACAATTTTTACAACAGGTAAAAAAGAATAAAGAAAATATAAGACAAATCAAAGTTCTTAAACAAAAAATATAAAAAAAAAGAGT